AGCCCCGCCCACCTAGCCCAACCGCTACCTCCTGGGGTTTACATCAGACAGGAGCCGTCCAGCTTGTCTCCCCTCCTAGAACAGTGAAAGAGACCCTCAAATCATAGACGGAGCCGCCCAGCTTGTCTCCCCTCCTAGAACAGTGAAAGAGACCCTCAAATCATAGAGGGCACCTGTCACTCCTCTGCTCTGAAGTCTCCATGGCGTCCCTTCTGAGTCAGAGTAAACCTGCATGACTCAGAGCAAAGTCAGATTATACACACAGAGTTCATCTCCCTGTCACACGGAGTCTGCTCACTGGTGGGGCACTCCACTCCTAGAGATCTTTCTCCATCTGTCCACAGGGCTCCTGCCTCACTTCCTGAAGGTGGGAAATTTATCCCTTCTCTCAGTGAGTTTGCACCATCACCCTTCCTACTTCCCTTCTCTATTTTTCCTCTTAGCATTTATGAGCTTGTAACATGTTAAATACCCACACATAATCCTATTTGGCGTAGCACTCTATCTGGAGCTCCTGGTCCACTGTGTCCTATGGTTTGCACACGCTGCTACAGTTAGAATACCATCCTGGGAATAGCCATCTGGTCTCCGATAAGAGAACTTCCCCATCACAAGGTGACTAAAACACTTGCCTAGTGAACAATGATAATGGATAAAAACAAACACGAGCGTGCAACTGTGCACCAAGTAACTTCAGAACCTTAAATATATTCCAGGAGCCCTAGAAGAATCTATCTCTATTGCTAGGTTAGTAAGGGGATACGTTCCTAACAGTGACTTAAAAGTACTCCAAACATTGCTTTAGGTGCTAAAATAGTGGGACTGCAGGTGATGTTTTTAAAGTTAACACCTTTTTTCGTTATTTACTTGTTTACGTTGTTGCTGTTATTTTGATTTGTTTTCTGGTCTCACGATCCTCGTGCTCCTCCAGTCTCCCTAGTTGTGGGTGTCAGCGGGCCCGGACCAGGCCCTCAAACGTTTCAATACTGAAGTTATATTATGTGCGCATGTATGCTTTGCACACCTGTAAGCGTTTGTGCACGATCGAGCAATCATAAAACCTGGAGCAGCACAACAACAGGAAATCGTTGCGCAACATCTGGAAAAGAGAAGCAAAGCAGAGGACCTGACGGCGGACTCGGCCCACGCTCCACCCAAATGCGGAGTCTGCGAGGGCGGGGAGATCCCGCTAAACTGAGCGGCCACGGCCCCGCCCACGGAAACGAGTCCTTCTCGGCAGACCAATCCGCAACCTTATGCAAATAGAGCCTGGGCGTGGCTAGAGAGGCGGGGCCG